CTATCTATCTATCTATCTATCTATCTATCTATCTATCTATCTATCTAATACTGGGCAAATTGCTTGCTCTTGTATTCCATTTTTATATCTTTTATAGGTGGATATTGACAAACCAAAATATTGAAGAGACACTACAAAAAGCTCATGCGCATTTGAACTTGTGGGGATTCTATACAGAGGTTTCAGCAAAACTAGACAAATGTGAAGAACAGTATGATTCCCAGTTGATGCCTGATACAGTCTCAAGCTGCACAATGGATATTCTTAAGGAGAAGGCAGAGAATATAAAAGTAAGGATGGAAGAATGTAAGAATGTAAGAACATACCAATGTTTCTTTTCCTCTGACTTGAAAAAGAGGCTAGCAAGGTTGCGGCCCTCACATCTGCTTTTGTTGGAGGAGCGAGCAGCAGGGAAGGGGGCTCTTCCCTTTCTCTGCTGTCTCCTTCTTATGTCCCTCCCAAGTATGAGTCCCTTGCTGCCTGCCCACTACAGATATCATCTGAACACCATTGTCATTTCTATAACTTCTGCAGCAGTGCTCTCCAATATGTATGGTGGTAAAGGCAGATAATGCTGTAGTGGGAGATGGCAGAGGTTGTCAGCAGGAATATCTTCCTTGTAGATATCTCCCATCAGGTTAATGTTTTACTGGAACCAAAAAAAGAGAAAACCTTGGCTCTGTTCTTTCCAGCAGCCACAAGAGACATCCAGCCCTGTTCTGTAGTGGGCCAGTTGGAATCCTAGAGCTCATTGACCTCACCCAGGTTCCTCTTCCATGAAAATCAAAACCTTGCATAGGGAAGGGCTTGTACTTTTCCACTGAAAACCTGCTTTCCTGCCAGATCTGTTTGATTCAGTTTGATGCTGCTTCAGAAGCACAATGATCTCAAGTTGATGTTCAGATGTAAATTATAATTAGTGGGCTATCTCAAGGCGAAAGTAAGGGAATTTCTAATCCATCACTTTATGTTTCAAAGTAACCAGCTAGTCGCATTTGTAAAGCTGACTGGCTTAGAGGATTTTCCCAGCATGTACCAAAACTTGATTGTCAGTAGATACCAAATATCTCAATTTGGAATTGATTGGATTGTTTGTTACTTTGTTTCAACAACAAAACTTGGCCCAAAACAGTATTTGATCAAAACTGAAGCTTCCATTTGTCCTGTAGACTTCCCTTATGCAATTTAATTTTTTATATGAAGAATTGTGGTCATGAAGATCACAAAAACAGTCTATTATCCTTTTTTGGTCCTATTTTAGACTTCTGTTACTAACTTTGCAAAACTGTAAATTCACTTTTGGGATGCAAAATAGCACTCACCCATCACCAGCACTAGTCTCAATCAAATACTGATGATATTAAAGCTTGATAAAGGAAACACAATCCATTTTTTGTTATAAAAATGTTCATTATATTGTATCTCTACAAAGGTGGTTTAAAAAAAAAAAAGCACAATGACAGAACAGCTGTGTTTTAAATGTCTTGGATCCAATCCTTGAGACAGCTCATGTTGGTAAAGACTTTTGCCAAATGAATAGTTATTCCAGTTTCATCCTGTATGTATCAAGGTTATCTGTATTTTCCAAAGAACACGTGCTTTCAAACAAGAAGTGTAATCTATAGGTGGAGGTAAACAAAAAGCAATGAGCTTTTCCCACAAATGTTTGGGAATAAGAATTCCCAAACCCCTGATGGAGAATAAATCTGAGCCTACCATTTTTACCAAGGAATTCAATTTCTTGCCAGAATATCTAGGGCTTGTAGTTCTAGTCATGATTCCAAGCCAAAGAAATTTTAGCTGGTTCTGAGTGCTTACCTCTATTACAACTTTCTTCTGCACCAAGATCTTTGACCTTTGAACTAAAAAAAAGTATGTACAGTGGTATTTGCCGGATCAGAGCCAGCCCACCTGCATTTTATATCAATTTAACAGATCTACACTGTAGGGGGAAATATTTCAGAATTTTCCTCAGTAATACAGTAAAAAGTAGTAACACAGCAGTAGAAATGCTTCTGCTGTGTTATAATAATATAGAAACAGCTTTCTACAATATAATTCTATGACTCTGGACAACAGTTTAAAAAAAAGATAATTTTGTCAAACAAGAAGCAATTGGTAAAGCCATCTGGTGTTAATAGTCACCCCTCCGCCACACAACCTAACAAAAAATAGCAATGGAGAGCTAAACAATTCTTCTTTTATAAAGAGTAATTCTAAAGAAGAACCCTAATGGATGGGCATGATTTTTTTTTCATTTTCTTTTCAGTTGTGAATGACTATTAAGAATCTGTCGGACTACTTGTTGTGCTTTTAAGCCTAATCTTCTTTTTCCCCGTGCTAACAGTTTGAGCTGAGGTTGAGGATTTAGGGTAAAGTTCTCTGCATTTTCGCAAATGGTTAGAAAAGTGTGTGTGGCCTTAATAAATTGCTCAGGAAGCCTAATGTGAAGAAATTAAAATGGACCCCTTTGGAACAAGGAACTCATTTAGCCTGAAAAGCAGCAGTGACAAGGGAAAAAAAGGCTTAGGAAGTCAGGCAAGCATTAGTCCTATTGGCAAAATTTGTCATTAATGGTAGTAAATTAGCATTTTCTACTTATTTGATGCCCATTAACTAAAAAGCTGTGATTCTCATTCTCAAAAGCATGATTTTTAAGTAGCTGGTGTTAAATGGAAATGGTATTAAATTATATACTTTGGATGAGGGGCTCCTCAATTGCATTTCCCCCTCCCTTTCCATAAAATAGACCTACCAAGCTACAGTTTTCTAAAAAAAAATTGTATTGCTCATCATATACAGCCAGAAAGTTAAAGGGAATTAAGCATACCAACAATGTTCAGGATTGAAGATCTGGAACCTCATCAGTCTGGTTAATCTAGGTTTTATGTGAAGACCACCTTATTAGCTTTCAGAAGATATAGTCGTTTTGTTCAAATATACCCTCTACCAGAACCAGTGATGGGATTCAATTTTTTTTTACTACCGGTTCTGTGGGTGTGGCAGGGGAAGGTTACTGCAAAATCTCCATTCCCTCCCCACTCCTGGGGGAAGGTTACTGCAAAATCCCTATTCCCTCCCCACATCACTAACCTACTTTCCAGCTCTGTTCTCCTGTGCAGGGCAACAAAAGGCGACCCAGCTGATCAGCTGGGACTCAGGAGGCAGAGAATAGATGGGGGTGGGGCCAGTCAGAGGTGATATTTGCCGATTCTCCAGACTACTCAAAATTTCCACTACAGGTTCTCCAGAACTGGTCAGAACCTGCTGAATACCACCTCTGACCAGAACTAAGGTTTTTATGACTGGAGAGCATGGCTTTTTGGTGCCATATTTGGTTTGCAAATGGTGGCTGTTGTTGTGGAGTGGCGGAATAACCTGAGGCAAACACGGAGCGAACTTCAGCTTTTACTTTATTGTAGCAATAAAGGGTTGCCACGGCTGCCGCGCTAACAAGGTAGCCAGCTGGCAGACAACAGCTGATGCCGTTTGACAGCTCCCTTTTATAGCCGGCTGTCAAACGGCATCAGCCAATAGGAACGGTCCATGTTCCCGCTGGAAACACAGACCGGAATGAAGACTTCAGCTCAGTCTTTTCCGAACGCCACAGCTGTCATAATTTATTGAATGAATAGTGTTTTAAGGTACTTCAGGTGAGTCTGTGAGCAAATTCATGAATCAGATAAGCAAGAAGATAACAGGACTTTTTGAGTGCTAGGACCTGATTCCTCCAATTCACTACCTGCAAAGATAATTCTCCCAAACTCTCTGCATGTACTGTATATACCTCAAATCAGTTGTACTTTATTGAGGTAATCTTCAGTTTGGTTAGCTTGTTGTAATCTTCTCACTTCCAGGATGTCATATGTAGAAGATGAAAGATAGGAATATGGTTAGACTGATGTATTTCCCTAATCTGATTTTCTAAGCTCAGACCTTTTCCACTTTTAAAAATCTACTTATAAAGTTGCATAACATTCTCCACACCTTTATTCTATAGACCAGGGGTGTCAAACTCATGGCGTCACGGCGGTGTCATGTGATGTATCAGGACTTTCCCCCCTTTCATTAAACCAGGCATGGGCGTGGCCGGCGCATGACGCATCCGGCCCATGGGCTGGGAGTTTGACAGCCCTGCTATAGACCTACCAAGTTCAATGTGTCTTGTTCCTCAATTAGCACACTCTAGAGTGTCAAACTCAAGAGCCGGGGACCAGATGTAATCCGCAGGGTGTTTAGATCTGGCCCCCAGGGCCACCCTGGAAACAGCAAAGGACCGGCCCACAGTGTTTCTGACAGAGAAATGGAGCTCTGTTTTCACTGGCCAAGGGCTGCAGGAGGCCTTCGCAGCTGAAAGTGGGGCCTGGGGGAGCACGCACGGCCCACCTGAGCTCCGTTTTCACTGGCCGAGGGCTGCAGGAGGCCATCACAGCCGAAAACAGAGCTCAGGAACACGTTTTCACTGGCAGAGTGATCGGGCCGCTACAGGCAACCCTGACATGAATAATGTCAAGCTGGCCACTCCCACCCTGGCCCCTGAGGTGAAACACAACCCTGATGTGGCCCTCAAGGAAATCGAGTTTGACACCCCTACTCCAGAGTATAATTGAAAAGTTTGTTCTTTTGTGCTTTCCAGTTTAGATTTATAAAGACCATTTATATTTGCTATTACTGTTATATTGCTAATGTAACATTGTTTTGAATTATAAGATCCTAGGATAAAATAGGGCACATTTTTTTTCAGCTACATGTAACAGTTTTAACACTGATTTCCACTGACTGTCCCAGTGGAAGCTGAGGTCTAATTTGGGAGACCTGTGTAATATTCAAAAGCTGCAACTCAGCTGCATTGTGTGAGCATTCTTGATGTTTTTAGTGCCAAAATCAATGAAAAATCAGGGCTTGAAAATGAGCATAGACAAAAGAGAAGTAGTAAGAGTTAGATGAATAGTGCCTCCTTGTAATCCAGCAGGTAGAATCTTAGTTCTGGGGTCTTGCATTGCTTTTCCTAAGGCATAATTCCTTTATTTTTAGAGACTGCAACATGACCTTCAAGACATCAAAGAATATTATCTTCAGGCTTCTGAATCAGGCGATAGTATAACTCTGTTAGCTGAACCAGAAACACAGAACCTTCTTCAGGAGAAACTCCAGCTACTTCAAAGGATCTCCTATCTGGAAAAGATGCTACAGATGAAAGCAGATGTTTATCAAGTATTGCTAATTGTTTGATATAAGCATTTTCAGAAGAGAATGGGAAATTGTATAATTTTCCACAAATGCTGTATTTAGAAAATACCTTTCATTTATATATCCGGGTTTCCCACACTTTTGGTATAATGGGCCAGCCTTGGAATTTTGAGAATGTATTTTGTGCTGTCACTGCTCCTTTATATTTTTTCAAAGAGCCATCCTTTGGAGAAAAATATGAGATTGAAAGCTGGTGTTTGATATATAGAGCAAACTAGCAACTAATAATCGGTTTTAAAAAAAGATTTAAAAAATCAGGTGATAGGTACATAGGGAAGATATGTAGGCTTGTTGGAGACTGCAAATTAATTGTCAGGGTAGTAGAAAACACAAGGTTCTATATGATGCAAAATTTGGCCTTTTCATTTTTTGTTTAAAGTGTTAAATCTCTGGTTTACAGCCACAGCCCATTTTGTTTTTGCCACTTTTTTCAGCTAAACTATATTTTAAAGCTATATGTTAAATCAGATAGAATACCAGTATTTCATAATTCTTTCTTCCCTCAGTATGGTCTTTTACAAATGGAGAATTTTGGGAATTCCTTGAAAAAACTGGAAAATCATGTTAAAAATTCCACAGAAATACTGGACAATTCATGTGAAAGCAATAAAAATTTGGAGCTACTCATGGTAAGCCTACGTTTACATTAGTATACAATTAAGACAGTTAAGGCAATGAAGTATTTCCTGGTGTTTTGAAGTCCCATCAATCCTAGGCAACATGATATAATCAAAAGGTACTTTGGGAGTTAAAATTCAAAATATATGAAAGACATCAGGTTGCAAAACAGGTACAGATACTGATTAACAGAGTTTGAAGGGATCTTGTAGGATATCTAGTCCAACTCCCCCCCTCCAAGCAGGGGGGGAGTTGGACTATTTCTGACAAATGGCAGTCCAATCTCTTCTTGAAAGTCTCAATTGATGGCGGTCCCACAACTTCCGAAGGCAAGCCATTCCATTGTTTGATTGGGCTCACTGATAGCACCACCACTAGATGGACTTGCAACTGGCTGGCAAACTGTATTCAACGAGTAGTCCTTAATGGGTCTAAGTCTACATGGAGGGAAGTAAGCAGTGGGGTGCCACAAGGTTTCGTCTTAGGCCCAGTACTCTTCAATATCTTCATTAATGACTTAGATGAGGGAATAGAAGGGGAATTTACCAAATTTGCAGATGAATGGAAACTGAACAAGGAGAGATTTAACCTGGAAATAAGGAGAAACTTTCTGACAGTGAGAACCACCAACCAATGGAGCAGCTTTCCCTCAGAAGTTGTGGGAGCGCCATCACTTGAGACCTTCTAGAAGAGATTGGACTGCCATCTGTGAGAAATGGTGTAGGGTCTCCCGCTTGGGTGGGGGGTTGGATTAGATGACCTACAAAGTCCCTTCCAATTCTGATTATCTGTTATCACTGTCAGAAAATTTCTCCTTATTTCCAGGTTGAATCTCTCCTTGTTCAGTTTTCATCCATTATTCCTTGTCTGGCCTTCAAGTGCTTTGGAAAATAGCTCGACCCCTTCCTCTCTGTGGCAGCCCCTCAAATATTGAAACACTCCTATCATGTCTCCCGTGGTCCTTCTCTTCACTAGACTAGCCATGCCCAGTTCCTGCAACTGTTCATCATATGTTTTAGTCTCCAGTCCCCTAATCATCATGGTTACTCTTCTCTGCACTTTTTCTAGAGTCTCAACATTTTTTTTATCAGTGTGGTGACCAAAACTGGATGCAATACTCTAGGGGTGGTCTTACTGAGGTTTTATAGAGTGGTATTACTACCTCACTTGATCTTGATTGTATCTCTCTGTTAATGCAACTTAGGATTGCATTGCCTTTTTGGTGGTGGCTGCACACTGCTGGCTCATATTTACCTAGTTGTCCACTAAGATTTCAAGATCTCTTTCACAGTTACTGCTATTAACCTTGATTTCACCCAGTCTGTATGTGTACTTTTGGTTTTTCTTGCCTAAGTGTAGGACTTTACTTTTCTCTACATTGAATTTCATTTTGCTAGATACGGCCCAGTGTTCAAGTCTGTCAAGATCCATCTGGATCTTGAGCCTATCTTCTAGGTTGTTAGCTATTCCTGCCAGCTTAGTATCATCTGCAAATTTGGTAAGTTCCCCTTCTATTCCCTCATCTAAGACATTTATGAAGATATTGAAAAGTATGGGGCCTAAGATGGAACCTTGTGGTACCCCACTGCTTACTTCCCTCCATGTAGACTTAGACCCATTAAGGACTACTCATTGAGTATGGTTTATCAGCCAGTTGCGAATCCATCTTGTGGTGATGCTATCTATCCCACTTTTTTCTAGCTTACCAAGAAGTACGTTGTGGTCTACTTTGTGGAAAGCCTTGCTGAAGTCCACATATTATGTCCACAGTGTTTTACTGGTCTCCTAATTTAATCACTATATTGAAGAATGAAATAAGATTGGTTTGGCATGATCTGTTTTTAACAAACCCATGCTGACTGCTAGTTATTACTTGTTTCTAGATGTTGGCAGATATGTTTTTTATTATCTTTTCTAGTACCTTCCCAGGTATTGATGTTAAGCTGATTGGTTTGTAGTTTTCTGGGTCTGTTTTTCCCCTTTTTTGAAGATGAAACTTTTGAAAGGCACCAATATTCAAGCAAAATGCCTTCCTTTTCTTAGCCTCTAGTTTCCTTTGCTTTTTCCCTCACCCTCTCCTTCCCCACTGCCAATTGCAACCATATCATTAGTACCTAAAAGTATGTTTGTTTCCATGCCTAGATTGAATGTGCATATTTCACTCTTTATCTGCACATGGAACATGCCAAACTAGGAGTCACAGCCATGGAATGGCTGAATATGACACATTTTTTGCATCTTTACCCAGAAGTCTTTCTGAATTGTTACCTGAAGAAAACAGAATAACATCACATTTCTATAGTTCCTTGTGAGGCATGTTTTCACATGCTCTGTAACTCTGAAAGGGACTTTACAAGAAGAGATCCTGCCTGGGACATGTAATTCAGTAGTCCTGATGTACAAAGCTCAATTGTGGCCAGTTTTAATAACTTGAGCAACCAAATTAGCATAAAATAGGGCAACCTGTGTCTACCATTCTGAACTATTCTGAAGGAAAGCAAGATATAAATAAGTCTAATAATTATAGTATAATATTATAATATAAGCTCTACATTGTGTAGGAATGGCCAGATAGAAGATTTTGGTATTGAGCAAGGATTTCTGACATTTGATCTAAAAATAAGTTTTGGATTTCTTTATTTTGTGTGAAAATAGTGCATATTCTGTTGAAATGTTGAAATTCCTGGTTTCAGAATTATTTAGTTCCAAATGTATAGTGTTGCTCCTGGCACTATTTAATGAACTTCCAGTAAATAATGAACATTTATTAGTTCCAAAAAACTGAGATGGGCGGGGGGGAGGAGCTCTTGGACTCAATGATATTTTCCCTTCCCTGATATTGCAAACTAGTCTGAAAATTTGCCCCACTAATAAATAGTTATTATGCTAATTTCTATGGTATGCAACACTGTATAGAGAGACCTGGAGATTTTTGCTTCTTGTTGTGCATCAAAGAAGTGATTTGCTCTTTTGGGTAACATTTGCAAGAAATCAAACAAACATGACTTTCTAGTATTTAATTTATTTGTTCTTCTCAGAGCCAGTTATTGAGTCTTACATCTTTGTCTCCTGAAATGGAGAGCTTGAATGAAGTCAGCTTTAGATTGCCACTCTGTGACTTCACTGTAAAGAGATTACAAAACCTTAATCGGCAGTGGACTCAGAAAACCGCTCTAGTTCTGGAGCAGTGCAGGTAAAGAGGACTTTTTTTTAATATTATGATGTAACTCCATCACAATAGTTTATGATATTTTATTTGCACCCAAACTGTTTAAACTCTTGAAAACTCTGTGACTAAACTATATTGTATATGTGATGTTTTCCTTCACAGCTATTTTCTATAAGAACCCTTATTCATCTTTTAGTTTTGGCTGCAGTCTAGTAATCTTTCCATGCAACACTCATGGAATAGCTCCACGAGATAAGATTTTTGGAGTCTGCTTTTGAGTATATGAACTGCAGTCCAGTCAGTTGAAAGACATTTTTAATATTATGCAAATGCCAGTGAGCACATAAAACAGCATCAGAAATGAAGACATTCAAGTTATAAAAAGAATTTTATCAGAGAGTGGGATATTTAATCTGTATCCAAAACTGGGCAACCAGATTCTTCTTCCGAGCTCCCATGCTGGAAGGTACCAGACTAGCTGTTGTAGACCTTTTCCTTGCTGTGTGCCTCCCACCTTCATGTATTTAGGGAAAGACAATCTGTGAAAGTTACATTTATTTATTTATTTATTTAATTTGTCAATTGCATACAAGACAATAGGTATAAGTATAAACATAAGTAAGAATACAGGAAATAGGTACAAATAAATGGGGACAATAGGACAGGGACGGTAGGCACGATGGTGCACTTATGCATGCCCCTTACAGACCTCTTAGGAATGGGGAGAGGTCAATAGTGGATAGTTTGAGGTTAAAGGAGTGGGGGTTTGAGGATGTAACAACAGAGTCAGGTAATGCATTTCAGGCATTGACCACTCTGTTGCTGAAGTCGTACTTTCTGCAATTGGGTTTGAAGCGGTTTACATTGAGTTTGTATCTGTTGTGTGCTCTTGTATTGTTGTGGTTGAAGCTGAAGTAACCATTGACTGGTAGGACATTGTAGCACATAATTTTGTGTGCTACGCTTAAGTCTAACCATAGGCAGCATAGTTCAAGGTTGTCCAAGCCCAAAATCTCAAGCCTGGTGATATAGGGTATTCTGTTGTGAGCGGAGGAGTGTAGTATTCTTCTAGTGAAATACTTCTGGACTCACTCAATTGTATTAATGTCCGATATACAGTACGGATTCCAGACTGAAGAGCTGTATTCAAGTATTGGTCTAGCAAAAGTTTTGTATGCTCTAGTTAGCAATTCAATATTTCCAGAGGAGAAGCTTCGTAAGATTAGATTTACAACTCTTAATGCCTTTTTGGCAATGCTGTTACAGTGAGCTCTGGTGCTTAGGTCATTTGATATTAGAACTCCTAGGTCCTTGACAGAGTGAGGATCATCAACGAGGTCATATCTGCCTAGTTTGTATTTGGTATACTGATTTTTTTTACCAATGTGTAGGACATAGCATTTGTTGGTCAAGATTTAGAGTTGCCAATTGTTTGACCATTCAAATGCATAATCAAGGTCACTTTGAAGGACAGTAGCATTGTCTGTGGTGTTGAATAGTTTTACGTCATCTGCAAAGAGGATGCAGTTGCTTATAAGGTGATCATAGAGGTCATTTATATAGAGTATAAAGAGTGCGGGGCCTAGAACACTGCCTTGGGGGACACCGCTGTTAACTGGAGCAGGGTTTGATATAGCACTCCGTATTTTTACTATTTGTTGCCTGTTTGACAGGAATGCAGTAATCCACTTATGAAGGGATCCAGAAATGCCGTAAATGTTTAGTTTTAACAGTAGTTTGTCATGTACCACTGAATCAAAGGCTTTGCAGAAGTCTATGTAAATTGCATCTATAGCTTGACCCTGGTCAAGTAGAGTAGTTCATATGTTTTTGCAGTGTAGGAGTTGAAGATTGCAGGACAATTTTTTCCTGAAACCAAATTGTTTTTGGTTTACATGTAGATGGTTTTACATTGTGTAAGCCACCTCGAGTCACCATGGGCGAGTAGGCGGCAATATAAATTAAATAAATAAATAAATAATATAATGTCCATGATATTATTTATTTATTTATTTTAATTTAATTTATATTGCCGCCTATTCAAGGCGGCTTACACAATGTAAAATCATATTTAAAACAAAAAATAAATAAAAATAAAAATAAAAACAAAAAAAATTAACAAAAAGAATCAAATAAATTAGTAAAGTATGATAGAACAGAATTTTTTTTGGGGGGGGATACAACTCCCACCCCCTGCCCTGACGACAGCAGATCACACTAGCCATTTGATGGGCTCCATCCCTCTTTGGGTTCCCTAGGCCCATTGGCAAAACCAAGTCTTCAGTGCCTTTTGGAATAGTGCTAGAGTGGGGGCCATTCTAATCTCTGGGGGAATAATATTCCAGAGAGAGGGAGCCACCAAAATCTATTAACAAAGTTTCTTTAAACTCACCTAAGTCAGGTGTTTTCAGTTAGTTGACATGGACACTACCGTGTTTCTCCAACAATACAGCCTCCACCAATAGGAAGGCCCAGCATGTTTTGGGGGCATAAAATCAAATTAAGCCCCTCCCCCCAAATTTAGGCCTATCTTAAAATATGCAAAATAAGGGGGAAGGGCGGGAGAATTGCTGTTAGGAGCGCCCGGCGGGCAGGAATTCCTCGCCACCAGCCGCTCCTAACGGGCGATCATGGCGAAGCGCGGGGAGCTCCCTACTCCCACCAAACACCTTTGCCGCAGACACCTTTGGCACCCACCGCTGTTGCTTTCCCTTCTGCCCATTCCGCCGCCATGTTTGGAGCTGGCACTGCCGTGTTTGGAGTGCCGCCGCCATTTGGAGCTCCAAACGCGGAAGTGGCAGCTCCAAACATGACGGTGGGCGATCTTTTTATTTTGGTCCGCGCGAAGTTCAGAGCGAGCAAGAGAGGGAGACTGCAATGCCTCCATCCGAGATGGCAACCTCACTAGTGGATCACAACGTGGCTGGAAGCCCGAATCGGCGGGATACGATGGCAATCTTTTTGGAGCGAGAGGAAAGGGAGAGAAGAGTTGCGAGCCATAGAGATTGAAAAAAGACCAGAAAGCATGAATAGAAGAGATGATTCCACCAGACTGTCAATCATTTGGAAGCCTGCACTCACAAACACAAAAAAATCTCCACACCACAAGCCAGGCAAACACCTGAGCACAAACAGATCCCCCCTGATACCTCCAGCTCAAACACACCCCAACCAGGCACCCAGATGAAACCTAGCTTCCTAACTAATGATAGCCGTCCATTTACCCGGAGCCAAGCTGCACTAAAGGCCTCCAATAAAGTAACACAATGTTGCCAGCCAATCAAGATACAAAAAGAGCCACAAAACAGACAGAAAATATTAGAAACACCAATCAAGCAGAACACAGCAAACTCCAAGACCAATAAACACAGACCAAGACTCCCAACCAATCAGGATGAAGAAAAAACCATTCTGGCACAGCAATAGGCTGCCCCAAATTTAAATCTGAAACCACTGTAAAAGGCTGACTCACAGATGAACACTATACAGAAGCCTGATGATGGCAGATGAGATTCTGCCGAAACGTTGCTACAACTTTAAAAGCACAACTACAATGACGTGGGAAAATACCCGAACAAAGCTGAATGCCATTCATGTAAGTACCTGCGAAAACTTAAGAAATATATATTTATATTTATATTTATATTTATATTTATATTATTTATTTATTTTCTGAGGTTCTCGCAGGTATTTGTATGTGGATCTTTGGTTATTCGGGTTTTCTCCCATGTAAGATTGGAAGTATCTAGGCAACGTTTCGATGAAGTCTCATTCATCATCTTCAGGCTTGTGTCTTCAGCTCTGTGCTTCTCAGAGTGATGTGAGCTTGCAGCTGCTTCTTCCTTTTAACTGCTAGTGGGGATGTGACTTGATTGGGTATATATAAATTCTAAAATATGCTAATGACTATTTAAATGATATTAGGAAAACAGAATATGATTTGGGTGAAAATCTGGTATTAATTATGTTCAAAAAATGTGAATTAGGGTTATATAAATGCTATAGGTTGAAATTGGTTAAAGGGAAGTAAAAGGGGAAATTAACTCTGTTTTTATTTTTATTTTTTTTCTTTGTGGTATACATGTAATAGAAAATGTAATTGATTATACAAAGGATATGAGAAAATTGAAAATATAATGAACTAGAAGGGATTATGTGGGAATGTAAAATATTCATAATGAATGCATTATACTTTTGGCTTAGTGGAAACAAAGAAAAAAATATGAAATGATTATATGAATATCTCTGGAATATATATAAGATATATCGTAGATGGGGGGATATACCATGTGGATCCTAAATGTATTAATCTTACTTTACTTTTACTCATTTTTGAGAAAGTTATGATAACAATACATAATGTAACATAAAATAGGTGGTAAGCTGAAAATGGAAATAATAGGGAATAAAGAATTGAAAATATATGTAAGGATGAAATGATTTTGATATTGAATTAATGAATTGAAATATGAAAGGGAAATTTATCTGAAGATTAGTTGAATGGATAATAATTTGAGATGATATTAATTAAGAAAGTTGAAAATGTAACTATGACTATTATTCTGTCCTCTATAATTACTGGCTGAATGTATAAAGGCAGATAGATAACTCCACAAAGCATCCATACGAAGTCTTTTTATTGGTTCATCAGGCATCCTCAGTATAATTTACAGTTACATCGAGATTCATCTCAATGTTCAACTCTTTGCATAGCTGACTTTCTGGTGTAAAAGGATGGTAATCTTTCATCCCCAAAATGAAGGAACAAGGGGTTGAGGCAGCAGCATGTTGCTGGGTTCCAGGCAAGAGTGGAGAACCCCCCCCCCAACCCACCAAGAGTCAATTCAGTGACCAATCAGGATTACAGATGTGGCCACGTGACATGGACTACATTTCCCAGGATACCTTAACTACATTTACCATGATGCATTCCCTTAAGGGGACAGCTCCCAATTCCTAATTAACTATCCCACTTCCCATTAACTATATACTGGCTGGACAGCACAACTATGTATAAATATTGTAATCTGGAATCACGTTGCTCACGTGAAGAGATGTGTAAAAAATAAAAATAAAAAAACTTTGAATTTAAAAAAAAAACAAGTACACCTCTTGAAACCTGTAAGATTTAAGTTAGCCATACCTAATTTAACCCCCAACTAACTCTGTACTGAAGTCCTTTCATTTAATTTCTTTCTTTTTTTAATTGCAGTGAACTGCAGAAGGATCAATCAGATGACAAGAATTTTCTTCAGCAATGTCAGAATTGGGTGCAGTTTCTAGAGAGAATGAAAGAGAGTCTGAAAGAGAACATGCCGGCTACACTTGAGAAGCTGCAAGAACAGCAGAAAGAATATGAGGTGATGTTTCGAGATGTTTGGCCTTGATCTGAAGAATTGGGAGTTTAGTTCAGTATCAGCTTTAAAGTCACATTCTTGCCACAGCTGATATTCTTTCAGTTCATTGAACTATAATAGTGATTAAATGTTATTCATTATTTACAGAGATTACAAACAGAGATTTCCATTAACCAGCAAATTTTCAGTTGCCTTGTGTCAAAAGCTCTGAATATGTTGGAATCAGAAGAAGCAGAAAACAGGTAAAATATATGACTTGATGGTGTACACCTTGGTTTTTATGACATTCAATAGTAATGATGTGAACCCAAGCAATAATCATTTTTAGAAAAGTTAAAGCTGTCAGTACAGATCTCAACTTATGACCAGTTGCTCAGCAATCACTCAAATTTTTATAATGGACTTCGCAGGGGCTACTTAGGACCTAGATTGCCTGCAGTCACATGATCGCATTTGGTGCACTTGGAGGCCAGCCCACATTTACAACTGTTTACAGAGTCCTGCAAGTCATGTGAATGCAACTTACAACTGCTGTTGACAGAAAGCCAGTATTTGCTTCCTGTTTCTGGCAGTGCTCATTGTCCAATGGGTTCATTTATTTATCAAATTTGCTTAATAATTACAGTGATTCACTTAACAATCACCACAAAAAAAAAATCATAAATTGGGCATAGTTATATTGTGATCCACTTAATAACTGGCATGATTTATGAGTATAATTCCAGGCTCAAATATGAGGGTTACCTGTATAGATTAATGGATATGGAACAATTGGCAAAGCCGAAGCCAGAAACTCAGATCTGATCTTAGGCTTAAATAATATCCAGTGCAACTAACGCCCATGGCGGAACAGAGAACTGCAGAGCCCACCCAGCATCTTCTGTTCATCAGTGTTGTTCTGCACTATTCTATATAACAATTTCTATTGTTTCAAGTCTGTAATTTCCTTTGCCTGCTTACCTGGATGCCAGGCCCACTGAATTTAAACTTTTAGGATGAGTGTCTCCACTTCTGCATATGCTATATATTCATATTAAACTTGTTCAGCCTTTCCCAAAATAGTTCATTTCAGATTGTAAGAGCTACAATGCCCAGAATTTTAAAATAGCTGACAGACCCTTTCTGATATTTCTATAAATCAGTATAATTGTTACTTAGCTTTCAACATCTCTTCCTCATCATAATGGGGTAGGAAAGTCAGCTTTTCTATGGGATACAAATTTCATAAGCTCCAGTGTACATATGGGAGCTGAAATCCAAAACATCTGGAGGATACTTGGCTGCCTATGCCTGAAATTTTATATTTTAAAAATAACACTGTCTCCATTCCTGTTGACAAATCAAAAAGTCAGTTCAGTTTATTTACAGTCCATAACCAATAACTAAAAATACATGATTTTGTGTGTGCCTGGGTATATGTGTAAAAAACACAAGCCTGAAACTGTTCATGATAAGAACATAAGACAGCTTCTACAAACCAGAACTATTGATAAAAAAAATTGCAACTTTCTTCTGAAAATTGGTTATAAAGAATGGTTACCTCATGGCCATAAAAGAACTAGGTTTTCTAAAAATAGGTAGTATAAGTTTTATTATTGTGTATAAGGGGGCATGTTAATAATGCACTTTTACAGTTTCAGCCTCCATATCTGTGCATACAGAAGTACAGTGCTCAGCAACCTGGAGAGGATTTGGCATCCCTAGTTGGCTAAATCCTATAAGTGACATAGGGTACCTGCTAAATAGCACCCTGTATCCAAAGCCATATATCTACAGTGTGATGGTAGCTTATGATACTGTATTAACATATCACTCTGGTTTCTTTAGAACTGAGTTTATCTCCAGGCTCACTCTGCTGAAGGAGCAGTGGCAGAGTGCAATGCGGATGGCCCATCGGAAGAAGATTCACATTGACAGCCTTGTAAAGCAGTGGCAAAAATTCACAACCTTACTGCAAGATCTCACAAAATTCCTCATGGACACAAGCAGCTACATAGCTGCTGTGAAGAGCCAGGAGAAATATCGCTTGGATCAAATTAGGAACCTGAATCACAAATTCAAGGTTAGGCCTCCCACTCGCTATAATACAGAGAAATCAACAATAGACTGCATTAGCATATTTCTGGAAAATGAAAATTAGGTAAACCTGGATAGATGTGCCCCACAGTTCAGTTCTATTTATTTATTTGTTAAATGAACATGCTGCCCATCTCACAATTCGCGGCAATGCTGGGTGGCTTATAATGTAATAAAACAGAGATATAACAGCAATGTAAAAACAGATTAAAATTACAAAAGATTAAATACAGATGAAAAGACCATGGATTTGGAGCAGAGCAGTGGTAGTACCTTCTCTGTCACTGCACCAACCACTTACAGCTTCTCCATCAGGACCACATGCCAACTGGCAGAACCAGATTTTAAGGCCGTTCCTGAAGACCAGAAGGGTGGGGGTAGATTTCACCTCCAGCGGCAAGATGTTCCAAAGAGTGGAGGCCGTGACAGAAAAGGCTCTTCTCCTGGACCTCACCAGCTGAAATTTCTTGGCTGATGGAGTCCACAGTTGCTCCCTTCTGCCAGAATGAGAAGAGTGAGCCAATTCCATCATGGTGAGATGCTTCTTTAGGTAATCAGGACTCATGCCATAAAGGGGATGACCAGCATCTTGAATTCGACCTGGAAGCAAATTGTCAGCCTGTGCAGCTCCAGGAACAGTAGGGTTACATGTACCACCCTAGAAGCCTCCAGAATCGTCTATGCTGCTGCATTCTGGACCAACTATAGCTTCTGAATAATCTTCAAGGGTAGCCCCATGTAGAGGGCATTGTAATATTCCAAATGAGATATGACCAGAGTATGAGTGACTATGCACAGGGCCTCATGATGCAGACATTGCATTTCATACTCATGTACCTCACTTGTATTTCTTTCTGGTATAAACTCTAGGTTCAAATTAGATTAATAATAATTCCAATGTTGGAATTTGAATTATTAATGTTGAATTATAATTATTTATAATTCCAAATGTTGGGGGAAAATTTACTGAACTGACCCTAGAAATTTCATTTTAATATTGTTGACCATAGAAAGCACATGTGTATTGATATATTTTTAAAATAAATTGATTGTTGTCTCTTTTTTTTGTATTTTAAGCAGCTTCAGTACAATTTTCTCATTTAAAGTGGTGTACAAGTTAAAAACCTATTTCTTTTTTAAAAAAAAATGAAACTGGTGCTTTCCTGAAGCATGCTCGTCATCGCATATTATATATATTGAATCTCTTGTCCCCAGGATCATACATTTTTGGGGTAATACATACTTAGACACGGGTTTAAAGACTTGGCTATACCAGTATAAGAGAACTTATATCAGCAGCTGCCATCTCAGCTTCTTTCTCCCTCCTGTGGAATTGTGATAATAATAGATTTCTGGGAGTATCAGTATGCCTTTCATTCAGGCATAATGCTAACCAGAGGTGGCTAAACTTTTTTTGGCCAAGGACTGCCTTTTAAAAATATTTTAATTACTTTTGCTTCCCAGGACATAACAGAAGTGGCAGTAGTGCTGTAAAATCTATAGTAATATGGAAAGGCATATTTCCTACTAAAATCATTCCGGTAATTCTTAAGGAGATTTTGTTTTCAAATAGTTGTGTAGATATTCTTTTGCATCTCTCTATGTGTCCTTTCAATACCCTACCTGCTAATCTTTTAACCATAACAATGAATAACAAACAATCTGGGTTTATTTGCTTTCTTGGTAGAATAAGAAAATACTTCAAAAGAGGTGGCAAACCAGATATTCTTTAATCTTGGATACTGGGGAAAAGTTACTTGGCATGGTAGCCCCTGAAGCAAAGGCTGCCATGCAGCTGGAGATGAACAAGTTGCGAGTTAATTGGGACAACACACAATTTCAGCTGGAGAAGATTACCAGGCAATTTCAGGACACCATACAGGTATCTTGCAGAAACCAGTTATCTTTATTCTATAATAAATCAATTAGGTCTAGAGTTCATCTGTTTGAGTGAATTTGCCATTTTTGGAAGGTTGTTTTGTTTATTTACTTACTGCAGTTCATATACCAATCCAATCCCGAAAATCTCAGGGCTTGTTTCTATCTCTTGCTACCAAATTCTTGGATTTACTGCTGCTAGAGACTGAACGTAGGCTCTTTTGAATATATAGAAAATGCTTTAATATTTAATTGTGTTCTGAAGCTTCTTATACATTTGCTATTACAGTTATTATTTGGGGAGTATTTTTCTATAGGGCAGAGAGTTAAGGTGATAGATTTGTTGGGGATTTAATTTTTTTATTTAAATGTGAATTTTATTCTAGGATGTCTAGGATTGTGCGGTCCTGTTTTAATTTATAACTGCAGTACAGTAAATGCCTAATTAATGATTCTTTCAAAAATCATCTGTGATTGCAGAAAAATACTGCTAGATTAAATTACCCAGAGGATTGCTATTGTGTTTAGCTAATGCTAGTCTGGTGCTTAAGTATCATTTGCTTTTGAAGCAAAAAGAAGTTCTGCATCCAAATTGCTCTTGTTGTTTTGCTCATTCTTAAGATCATAGAACTGGAAGGAACCATTGAAGCCCACGAGTTTGCCACCTGCTGTGCATAGATATCCAAATAAATGCATTTGGATATCTAGGATTTACTTGCACACATTCAGCGAAAGGCAGTTGCATACCTATCTTGATAATTAGCTCTACCATAAAATTCTCTTTCATTATGAAGATTTTTCTAACAGAAATCTCAAATAATAGCATATTTGCGAATCAATGCAAAAATTATGAGAAGATCAAAATGCATACATTAGCTATAAGCAGATAATAAGAGGCAAAAAAGAACCTTTGTGGATACTATTTTTCTTCCTCTGTGTTAAAAGGAGAATCCAAAATGTATTGGAGGTTATCTGATAGCAGTAAAGCTTCTACCTATTGAGCAATATTTATTGCTCATCATGAACTCATTTTTCTTCTTTGAAATTACAGACCTGGGAGAACTGTGAAAGCCAAGTGAAGGATCTGGGTCATGTTTTGCTGGAGCTCAAAGGAAGCATAAACAAACCTCTTCCTATAGAACATGATGCATTGCCAGAAACCTTGGAACAAGTAAAGGTATGTCTATAAAAGCCAAGATCTGGAACAGTTTGGGGAACATCAGTTTTAATATTTTTCACACTAGAATTCAAGATATACCTGCACAACCATTCTTGATGTTCTAAAACAAGTTCTAAATTTGATTAGAATGATGGATTGGTGCAAATGGAACAGTTCTGGAATTAATGGGGGAGTAACAGAGGCCTTGTCTCCAAATTGAAGAGAAGATACAGTTCTTCAGCTCAGAAACAAGCTGATGGATTGAACAAAGATATATTGAACAAAGAAGATGAGGTTGTCTGGTTCCACTGAGATTTCTGGATCCTGTTTACCTGCAATTACTACTATTAATTGAAAAATAATGAATGTGACATAGCACTTTTTAAAAATTTGACAAGAAACCTTTGAAGTTGCTACTCAGTCAAATGCTGCATGTTGTTCATTTTGGTGTTAGTTAATTATGTGAAATGAGACTCAGTCAGCAGCAGTGCAAAAGTAATTGTGCAACTATCTAGGTAACTAGATTTGTTTGGAAATTAATCCCCATGAATTCAACTGACTGTATTTCAAATTATTTTGCCCTGGCCTTTTTTTTGACTTAGTCACTTTTAGTCACTAAGTCACTGATTGGGTAATAAGCACTTTTGATCCCAGTGAATGTTATTCCAAGTAAACAAACTCTCCCATTTTTTAAATGCTAGAAGAGTAACTTTATTAAATTTCTTCTGGAAGGAAAGAAAAAATAGTCTCACAGATGTCATGCTGCATCTTAAGTAAAGTTTTATAACACTATACAATTTTAAGAGGTTGAGGAGGAATTCAGGAAAACTCTTTGTGTGCTTAATATTTGAAAATGACCCATTTCCTCTTCTCTCCAGTTGCCTTAATTTTAAGTGGCAACCAACAAAAAAAAGGCAAGATCCCAATACAAAAGGTCCTGCTCTCTCTCTCTCTCTCTCTCTCTCACACACACACACAAATTGCTGTCCTCCTTTCCCTTCCCTCTTGTACAGACCAATCACAAGATTAAAAGAATGCAGAGGCAGGCATGCTTGACTCCCCCCCAACTTCCCACATGCTCACCCCCCACCCCCACCCCAGGAACTGGCTCTGAAAGGCTGTTGTTTTCCTCTTGGTGTTTCCATGCAGGTGCTGGAGAAATCACTCACCAACTGGAACCAAAATGCAAAAGAACTTGATGCAAAAAAGGTGAAACTGGCTCAATTTATCCTCCCAGAAGATGTGATGGTGTTGAGAGAACAAACTGAACTTTTACACAGCCAGTGGGAAGAACTCTGCCTCAGAGTAAGTAGTTTATTTGGACATGCTGATGTTTGAGATTGGGCATTGCAAGGCAATGTGAATATGACTCTTCAGTTTTGTGTAAAGGAAAACAAGATAAGCTTGAAGGATTTAATGCCCTGAGGTTTTCTAAACAAAACTGTAATCAAATGTAGCTTATTTTTTTTTTTTTTTGCCATGAACAAAAAAAACCTGCTTGTGTCCACAGTGCTCTCCAAGTTCTGAAAGTTTTGAGCAACAGAGAACTTAAGAAAAAGTTCTGACTGAAAGATATGGTGTTCTAGAAGTAGATCAGCAATACTAACTATCTTTCAGTGATCTGAAATGATCCATAAGAGAAGGTTAAGATCCATAAGAGAAGTAGATGATTAGTCCTTATATTTTTCACTGCATAGCTTTCTACATTTTTTAAAGGTGCCTCTCTTTCAAATTTCTCAAACCTGACTTTGTTCTACATGTTGTAGATGGAGGTTTCAAACATTGAGAATGATCACACATTTTCTTCCATTACTCATTATTCTTAAATCTTATGCACCTCACAACTGTGTGTTACGGAAGCTCAGGAATGCAATGCTACACAATAATTTTCAGAAATCACCCCCAAGTTCTCATCTGAGACAATGAGATCCCATTGGTGGAATTCCCTCCTCAGCAGTGTCTACTTGCTGCTAGAATTGCTATTTTATTGTCTTATTGCTTTTTAACATTTTAATATCTTGAAACAAACTTGCAGTAGGTCTTACTTTGAATAAGCATGCTGGATTTAACTGCACGACTACAATCATAATACATTTTTAACTGGGATCAGTTAATTCTTTCTAGGTTCCTTTCTCATATCCAAGCCTAACATGAACAATTAACTAACTTTAATGTGTTTACATTTTAAACATTTTGAATCTAACCTTACTTGTTGATATTTCTCATTTACCATTTTTGTTTTAGATTCTAGACTAAATATATGTTGTCATTTTGCCCACTATCTAGGAAATTGGTTTAGAAGTGAGAAATTATTATTGGCCCAAGCCAGATAAGGTCTGCTTTTGCGGTTGTTAAACTAAACAATGCCATCATTTGGATTCATATATTGTCCGACAGGTGGTTTTGCTTAATGTCACTTTTCAAATCAGGGATCTGATTATAGTTAAGGAGGAAGGACTTTATAATCAGAAACCATGTGATGTTACAACTTAGTTTATCTTAATCATAATCCAGCATGATATTAGACTTTACATGTTGTATAAAGCCATCTGCCAGTAGTTAACCCTCTCATCTGTGGGATATGGGTAGCTTGGTGATCATACGTAGAACTAATTATAGCTTAGCCTGCTGCATGAATATTCAGTGAATAAATGGTAAAAGTTAGAATCCTAGTCTGATTCCCAAATTTATATTGTCACGGGTCTGTTATTCTGAAAACCAAGACACAATTAAATATTAAAAAACTGCACCAATCTCTCATCTTAAGTTTAAAAAAATGAATAATTAGCATGCCCCATTTTCTTTCCTACCAATATCTCTAACCCTAAAACGAAATCTCCAACAAAAGCATATTGTTTGAAAACAATTCATGGAAAAGCCCAACCCATTGCCCATGTTCAAAGCGAGGCAGTGCAGCTGCCCAAGAGCCCCTCAGAATTAACCAGCCAGATGCTCCTGCTGAAAGAAAGAGGAAAACAAACAGCAGATGGGCTGTCTGGAGCAAGGAGGCGGGGAATATCAAGGGCAGGGTTTTGGCATGCCAACACAGTAGGGAAGGAGCACAGAGGAGCATATCAGACAAAAGACTATTTAAAATGGATGCAAATTTTTCATACGCTTGCTAACTTATAGAGATGCAAATGTCGAATCTGTTACTCCGGAAATATAGCGCCCTTCAATTTATCCAGAAAGCTTAAAAGAAGTTAACTTTATCTGCTGATGACAATCACCATTGTTATTTCTATCATTATTATTAATATTGATCATATTTTATATTTTATTTTATATTGATTTACATTGCTGAGTTATTGAGCACTTTAGAAATATCAAGATGCAGGCAGTCCTTGACTTACAACAGTTTTTTTTAGTGACCGTTCAAAGTTACAATGGCACGGGAAAAAGTGACTTATGACCATTTTTCACATTATGACTGTTTCTGTATCCCCGTAGTCATGTGATCAAAATCCAGACACTTGGCAACTGACCCATATTTATGATGGCTGCAGTGTCCTGGGATCATGCGATCACCTTTTGTGCCCTTCCGACAATCAAAGTCAATGGGGAAGCCAGATTGACTTAACAACCCTGTTACTAACTTAACAAGTGCAGTGACTCACCTAACAACTGTGTCAAGAAAAGTCGTAAAACTAACTTAACTGAACAGAACAGAAATTTGGGGCTCAATTGTGGTTGTAAGTCAAGGACCTACCTGTAATTCAAATTGACAAGGCTTCATAAGACTTTACTGCAGAATCCACAGCATTGTAGAAATGATCCTACATTCCTGAATGCTGAGAAGATGCAAAGTAAAAGCAGATTGAGACTCTTTTAACATAGCTTGTCTTTCACAGTGATCGTAATAAATATAGCTATGTATGTAATATAGCTTGTCTGTTAGCTATCTGAAATTTAAACCAGAGTAAGCACAAGCTACAGGCTGCATGTTTTTATGGCCTTCCTCACACATAATATTAAGGCATATATTTTTGGATTACCATGATATAGCAATAGCACTTAGACTTATATACCACTTCACAGTGCTTTAGATCTAAGTGGTAGAGGGTTTACAGAGTCAGCATATTGCCCCCAACAATCTGAGTTATCATTTTACTGACCTCAGAACGTTCTCAGAATCTAACTCCTGGAGTGAGCAGTGAGTTAGCCTGCAGTACTGCACTCTAACTACTGCGCCACCATGGCTCTATGAGCTGATATAATATATGAACTTACCCTGTTTTGCTTAATGTCCCACATGAAGCACATTACAGTGTCTTATTCAGATACTAATATCTTTTAAAATTCAGGATAACATTATGTTTGAACACAAGATGTGTTATCATTCCATCTACTTAACTCAAATATGTCTCTCATGCATAGGCATAGTGCTCAATTTTGCCACTTAAATGGACTGACAAGTGAGATGATCTGGTGTTTTCTGGATAGGCTTTACATTTCTTTGTTATATCAAAAATGTTTCCATCACTCCCCAAAAATGGGGGAAAATATTATTTTTATTATTATTATTATTATTATTATTATTATTATTATTATTATTATTATTATTATTATTATTATTATTGGTTTTTAAAACAGACATAAACAAACAAAACATAAAAACATCAAATCATCTTCCATATATGTTCATACAGTGTGCCGGTTGGTTTACAAATTGTTTTGTGCTTCCATTTCGTAGTCTTCAATTACAATTACATTACATATAATCTCATATTGTCAATCAAAAATTAAATACCTTAGTATCATTATTAATCAATCATTTGACTATACTTTTATTCATTCATGTTTTACAAGATAACCATAATTTACTTGGTTTATTTTATAAGTTCATATTATCACCCCAAATCTATCCTAAAATCATTTTGTAGATATAATAAGAAAAAAGTACATCTTTATATATTTATTATTTTCTAAAAGTCTACATATTTCATTACTGTATTTTATTGTCCAACCATTGATAGAATAGATCCCAGATTTTATAAAATTGTTTATCCTCTTGTTCTCTAATTTCAAATGTCAATCTACTCATTTCAGCACATTCCAAAATTTTCTTAATGATTTCCTCCTGTGATGGTGTTTTCTAATTTTTCCAATTTTTAGCAAATACAATCCTAGCCGCTGTTAATACATTTACAATCAGATATTTCAAGTCTTTACTATATATTTCAGGTAAAATTCCCAATAAAAATATCTCTGGTTTCAAGTCTATATGTTTTTTTGTCATTTTTTCCAACCACATGTGGATTTTGGTCCAGTATCTTTTAGCATCCGCACAAGTCCACCACATATGGTAATATGAGCCAGGTGTCTGATGACATTTCCAACATTTTTTGGATTTATTCTGGAACATTCTTGCTATTCTTGTTGAGGGGAAGTGCCACCTGTAAAACATCTTATACAAATTTTCTTTATATGCTGTTGACATTGTCATTTTATAATTTTGAGACCACAATTTTTGCCATTTCTCTAAATCAATCCCATATCCAAAATTCTTCCCCCAAGAAATCATAGTTTCTTTAACTTGTTCTTCTAATTTAGTTTCTAATAAATATCCATACAATTTTTTAATCACCTTTTCATCAGTACCTGTCAAAATCTTATCTAAATCAGTAAATTTATCATAGAAACCTTCTATTTTAGAATCTTTAGCATACCTTGAATGTATTTGCACATATGAAAACCAATTCATCTTTATACCTTGTTCCTCTAGTTTTTGCATAGATTTAAGTTCACCCTTTTCATTCAATATTTCACCATATCTAACTGTTTGTTCCTTTTTGTATATTATAGAATAAGAAAATGCTTCAATAGTCGATAGCCAGACTGGAATTTTCAAATAACATTGTCTTTTAATCTTTTCCCAGTTTAACCACAGAGACTCCCGTATATAATGTCTTCTAAAATACCCCTGTGTTTTAGTTCCTTTATGCCATAAAAAAGCATGCCACCCCAACAACAAATCATGTCCTTCTAATGTCAACAATCTAGTATTTCTTAGTGTTATCCATTCCTTAACCCACATCAGATTTGTAGCTTGATAATACAACTCCCAATTAGGCAAACCAAATCCTCCTCTAATTCTAGCATCTTGCAAAAGTTTTAACTTTATTCTCGCTTTCTTACCTTGCATATATATTTCAACACAATTTTATTTAAATCTTCAAAGTAATCTTTTCCAAGCCTAATTGGAATTGTTTGAAACAAATATAAAATTCTGGGTAATATATTCATCTTGATTGTTGAAATTCTCCCTATTAGTGACAGTTGTAAATTTTCCCATTTCGCCAGATCTAGCGCTATCTGTTGTTTAAGTTTGATATAATTACAGATTTTTTCTTTCTTTCATTTTTTACAGATTCTTTCTTTCTTTCCCTTAAGGTGTCCTCTCAAATCTTAAAATAGAGAAAAAGTTCTCACCAAACCGGCATACTTTCTCTTTTCGTTCTCTTTTGTTTCGGAGCTGTCCCAACTTCAGCAGCTTTAATGGCTGCCTCTTTGCCGCTGGCAAAAAGAGCTTCTCCTGGATCTACCAGGGACCTTACGGTATCTCTGGGATCGACAGGATGCGCTCTTTACATTCACCGTCTCTTCGGGACGGTTTAGATCCACTTGGACCATCCAGGAGCAAAGATATCGGCTGCGATCTCAGACCTCCAAGATCGCATGCCGTATCGTCGCGACGCCAGCTCCGCCCTCCCGGGAAATATTATTTGTAAGTGAAGGAATTGTTTGAGAGTGTTATAGGATTTTGCAGTGAAATCTGCAGGGAAAAAATATTCTTTTTACCTGCTCATGAATTGCATTGGTAAACTTTGGCTCCTCCCAAAATTTAATGAAGATTAAATTTAATTAATTTAATTAATGAGATGTAACTAATGTCATCTATATCTTCCTTCATAGGTTTCTCTACACAAGCAAGATATCGAGGAACGACTCAATGCCTGGATTGTGTTCAATGAAAAAAATAAGGAGCTGTGTACTTGGCTGATGCAGATGGAAGAAAAAGTCCCTCAGTCAGCAGATATCAGTATTGAAGACATGATAGACAAGCTGCAAAAGGTGAGTAAACTTTATTGATGTACACGGAAGTTTATTCTTGCTTAGGTATGCTTGCCATAATGAAGTTTCAGGAGACATCAATAAGAACTACCTTAAAACAATTTTACAATCGTCTGCTTTTCATATAACTGCAAAATAAATAAACTCTTAGTCTTCTGTGCTGATTATCTTTAAATTATTTAAATTGATACTTAACATTTATTTTTAAGAAAAGCTCTCAGAAACTTACAAAACTTATAATATGAGAGTCCCAGATCTTAAGTGTAAAATTGAAAAGCTGTGATACACAAGGAAAAAGGGAGATGGAGGAAGAAGATAAAATGTAAGCTTAAATATTTTTTCTTCAACTATCTTCAACTTTGTGTAACAGTCATCTGGGAAAAAATAATGGAAGGGTCAGCTGTTTGTTTGCAGTAGCTAGAAGGCCAAAGGCAACTTCTCAACAGAGGTAATGTCATGCTTAGGCTCCCTTTCTTTTTCTGTGCTCAGTAGGCTGATGGTAGAACTATTATTTAAAGGCAATTCTCAGAGTCTCTTTGGCCTTCTTTTAATATTTAAGGCAATGCCTTGTTTGAGACAAGCTGAGCTCCTGGTAATTTCAAGGATATATCTATGTAATTTCCTTGGCAAACGTTTGAAAGTTGCTTACAGTTGACTTCTTCCAGGATATTTTTCTCACCTTCCTGGTCTGTCTAGCAGCTTTAGGATTCAAGGGAATCTCTTGCCAATGCTCCAAGAGATCTCACTTAATGTTTTCAGAGGACATAGCCTCACAGAGGTGCCTCCATTTTCCATCCAGCTGGTGAGACAGGCTGAAAACAGGGGTGGGGATTGTGTCCTGTGGGACTTCACTTGCTAAGGAGAGCCCCTTCCAGTCCAGTTTTGTGTCATTTTTGCTTTAGTTGCCAGAGAGAAAGAACCCTATCCTGTATCTATTCTCTGTAGGGTTCAGAGGATTAAATGTGAATCTTCTGCCAGCAAAGAAACATAATGGAACTTTTCTTCTTAATATTTGGTTCAAGGAACAATGGCTTGCTTGTCCAGGACCAGGTTGGAAAAGGATCTAGGACTGTTAACTTCACCCCTCCATTTCTGTGGTAGCTCCTCCTCAGCAGATTGACTCATCCTTCCCATTTAACTAGCGGAATGTTTTCCTAGCCTAGGGTAATAGAAACCATCATTTTTTAAATGAATATTTATTTTCATCCCATGAAAGGGAAGCATTAATAAACAAAGTGGAAGAAAAAAAATGCAATCCATTTCTTTGTTGCTGAGGCCTAGAGATAAAATAAGAGGGAGCTGGTTACAGTATTTTTAATATAACCAACTATTCTGGGTTTTGGAATGGTAGAAACCTACATTTAAACTTCTCTCTGTAGAAGTCTTAACTTTTGTTTCTACCTTTTCCATTTCATGCAAAGTGTGTTACTTTAAAAGTTTAAAATTCTCTTGTTTAGGATTACATGGAGGAAATCAATCTATTTAATGAAAGTCAACTAGTTCACTTCAAGCAAATGGGCAATCAGCTGATCAAGTCTAGCAACCAAAGTAGAGGGGCTGAAATTGAAGAGAAACTCAACAAAATTAATGACCGCTGGCAACACCTCTTTGATATCATCGGAGGACGGTAAGTCTATGTTCATTAGTTGGCATACAAGCATAGTAGAATTATGAAAGAAATAACAACTTGAGTAGAAGTTTGTCTGAAATAGTATAGAAATTCCTGCTTGAGCAGGGGGTAGAAGACCTCAAGCATCCCTTCCAACTCTATTCTGTTAGAATCCTTAAAGTTGATTTATGCATTAGATTTTAGTCAATATGGTTGTACATTGTAATGCGTGATGGTAATTCATCTATGTTTTGTGAGTATGTGCTACCCCAACATCCTGTTTATAAAGATACGATTGGTTGGTTAACTGCTACTTTATATTCAATATAAGCTAAGTGACAAACTGATGAACACATCACATTTCCTTCAGAAGTATGTCTGTTGACTGGCAGTCGCTGTCCAACACTTCAGTAGCTCTATTTCCCAAGAAGTTATTTGCCTCTGACGCATACAAGAATTACTTTTCCATTTCTGCAATATAACTCAGATATTTGGATTATATTGTAATGTTGGTACTGTCTAATAATCATGTAAGATTTGCAGAGTTTTCAGAAATTTAGAAAAGAGACAAAGGATGAAGAAAAGAATAAGAGACCTATGTTTCAGCCTCAGCCCTTTCCTGGAAAGAATAAGACAGATGTAGCTGAACTAAGACTTTGTGCATGCATTTTTCCTATCATTGATTTATGTGTTAGGAAAAGCATAGTATCGTAAAGATTACTACTTCACTATTAGAGAGGGAGATTGGAGAAATCAATTATTTTGGGCGCTTGGATAGGCAGATAGGAATAACATTCAAATATGGCTTCATTAATCCTACATTGCAGAAGGAAACTTATTTATTGTAAAAGATGGATGAAGTTAACCTGTGGTGGATTAAAGGTGCATTCTATTTTGCCATTAATTTATGTCAAGAAACTGTTCCATTTGCACAGATTTATACATTCATCAAATTTCAAACAATTTGAGCATATTTAGATGATACAATGAGCTACCATAATCTTCCCCCTGCCCAGAAGCCTGTAATCCTATCCTATGACCGCTTCCTAGAACAGCACAGCCAAGATGTGCTGCTTTTTAAAAAAAAGCTTACCACAATGTCTTAAGGATTCTTCCCAGCACAAGTAATAAGAGAGCTTCCCAAAATCTAAAATAAACAAATAAATAAGATCAGTTATTTGCACCTATGCCTATGGAAATTCTCAGTCATCCAGGTCATGGTTTTCCTAAATATGCTTTTTCAAAAGGCAACTAGATTTTGTTTT